TAATTCTATTCTACCAGTATGATGCTTACTCTGTAATCACAGCATGTATTGCATGTCTGTATCTGTTCAGAGAGAGATCACTTATCAGTTGCCCTTCCTTAGGGTTTTTGAAATTTGCTGAAGGATTTTTTGGGAAGTACTTTCCTAACCCAAGAGAACGATTAAGGAGAGGGTTTTGTATGCTGTGCAGATTTGAAAACCCCCTGGAGGTATATTTTTGATTTGTGATATTTGGTAGAATTAATAAAACTGAAGTGGACTTGCTGTAGAGCAAATGAGCCAATGTAAGCAGTAAAAGTGATTTCAGATTATTTAGAATTTAGAATTACTGAACATTCTCTGGAAAAAGACAACCTATGTTGCGATAAACACTATGACACGGGACCAGAATCGATAGATTGTGTAATGAAATATGTGTACAAGTTATTTACTTCCAAAGAAAGAGGATTCAGTGTTACTATTTAAGTACTTCTGTTGAGGTTCATATTTCACGGAACAAAGCATACTTAAACAAAAGAGCTGCCTGACATTAACATCAGAAGTTATACGGCTCTGACAGATTAACTGCTCACCTTGCCACAGCAAACTAGTTACCAAATGTAACCAAATTGCCCTATCTGATCCCTGTGTGTAGTGTTGTGGGCCAGACCTGCAGTATTTAAAATGACTGAAGAGAGTATGCATTATATGTTGTTATTTGTTAACTTTGTGTCATTGGATGTCTACATTATGGTTTGACATGTGAAAAAGAAAAGTTCCTTTATAATTCACAAAACATTGAATCCAACCCCAAGGCTTGAAGAAAATGTATTGATCTACAAAATGATGTATATGATTTTCAGTTTGGATATCTCTGTTTTGTGAGTGATCTTTGGATTGATCCATTGAGGCCCGGTGGAAAATCATCATCCAATTAAAATTCAAAAGGGGAGAATTGTGAATCGGAATGATGAACTAGAGCTGAATAGTCTTAAGGGATAAACAAATCAAGCTTAGGTGAATATGTTATGCAGTTTTTAATATATAGACGTTATATTTGTCTTCATTTCGAGTTTTGGGATTCACTTTGTAGCTGTCTCTGCCTGTAGGGTTCATGCTGAAGTTGAGGACATGTGTTTGAACTGCCAGTGCTTCACCTGGTGTAGGTACAGGCAAACACAAGGTAAGTCATCTATTATGGATGACCATGCGCGGCAAGTGGAGGACAATGTGGTCACCTTGTTGGATACGAATGCTCAGGGAGAGGCTTTGAACCCTGCATGAGGAAAACGCCAACTTAAAAAAATGTAACTAAAAAAATACAGGAGTATAAGTGTTTAATAAATTGCTCAACTCTTCATTCTAATTTTATTTCAAACCCATTTTGTAAAATCCAAAGAAAATTGAAAAGCGGTTGATGCTTACGTAAGATTATCACCTGGCTGGAGGTCTTGGTGCTTTTCTGGCATCAGACCCTTACCTCTTGGTGCAGTTGATTGAACCTGATTCCCCTTTAGGATTAGGCCTATAATAAGTCTGGCTTGTCTTCAAGCCTAAAAATGCTGGAGTCCCAACTCATCCATAAGGCATAAACAGTCTCATGGTGGGCACGGTGGCCAGGCAATGACCTGTGGTAGATTAGACGTTCTGCTTACCGGCTGAGTAAACCTGGCTGGGGTGTGCAGACCTAAAGCCATTTCATGTGTCGGATAAAAAACATGTTTGAAGCACAATCTTGAGGTGAAATGTAACAATTTTTCTACTTTTAAAAATGTGTTTTAATTTTACAGGATAACTTCTATTCATCACACAACCTGACATACTCAAATTGATATCATGCAGTCTGAAATGGGTACCACTTTACAATAAGACTACCCTTATAAAGGATTCATAAAGGGTTTATAATTAGGTTATTAATTAGGTTGTAAATACTTTATTAATCATTAAGAACCATTTATAAACCAGTTCTAACATAGTTTTCATACATCAACACAGGTTCACTATTTGGCAAGATGACTAAGCCTTATATTGGCTACCTAGCTTACTTCGTCTTCTTCATCAGTCAGCATCCTTGGTATCTGTTGTTCACTCAGTTGATTCCCCCCCCCTTCCATCTAGATGTTTCTTGGCATCTCTTTATGACCATTTATTTATGAGTTACTAACATTTGTAACTGCCAAAAGGGAGCCTTATTGTAAAGTGTTAAACAAATCACCATTTATTAATGAGTTACTACCATTTATAATTTGTTTAAGTTATATTAAGTCTTAAAGTTATGCATACATTAGGGCGTGGTCACATTGAGTGACAGCTCTGTCCAATGACTGCTGTTGTTAGCTTCCTGTCTCTCTGCTAGCAGCTCTGTGATGCTACAGGGGCTCTGCCTGCTCAGTTCATCCGGGGAACATAACTTGAACTCGGCCGTGTTTGTTGTGCTGGTGCCTTGTGGACTATTCTTCATGCTTATATCGGACTATTGTGACTCGCTCCACGTTTAAAACAGACGGTGCATGAATGCAGTTTTATGGTAAGTGAAATTCGAGTACTTTATGTATGTGTTGCTTATGTTTTTAGTCAGCTAACGTTAATGAATGTTAAGGCTTGGGTTAGCATGTAGTAAGCAAGTGGTAGCTACATCTGTGCTAACGATGCTAATCGTAGCCTCCAAGTTAAAACGTAATAGAGAAGTGTTAAGCATTAAGTGGGATAATACTGTAGAACAAACGGCTTCTGTTTGAGGTTGGTAAAATAAGGTCATCCTTGTAAGTTAGAGAGATATTTGATTATGATTATTTTAAATTGTATTGCTCGTGCAATATGATTCACCATATTAGAAGTATTGATCATATATTTATGATATTTCTCATTATCATGGAATAATACATTTAACTGATTATGGTGTGAGAATCTGTAGCAAACAAATATGTTTTTTCATGAGTCTGTGGAATATGAATCTGAGGTCGGGATATTCCTGCAGCTCCACAATATTACATTCAATATGGCATATTACACTTACATACAGCACTTTGGCCCCGACCAAAAATCGCTTTTAAATGTGCTTTATAAATAAACCTTGATTTGATTTGATTTGATTTGATATGAAGCAAACATAGTGTACGTCGTGCTATTTAAATATTGTACCGGTCCATATAGCAAATGTGATAACATTTTAATTGCGCAGCCCTTACCCTTAGTTTAATCCTATTTCCTCCCTTCTGCTTGTTGCATATACTAGAAAGGTTTAGAGAGATGTTGAGAACTCAAGCCATTGAGACGTCCCAGCTGTATCCAGGACACGAAGAAGACACACAATGGAACAAGGTCCATTGACAGGTGTGTGCTTGGGCTAAAAAGGCCCTAAAGCAGCCATCACAGGATCCTTTTGTGTCCTCATGGAGCAGAACAAGTGACACGGCTTTGGATTTATGGGTCGGGGCCTCCAGCAGGGTGGCAAGCTGCAGCGGGGCCCGGGCAGCGCAGCGGCAACACCGCCTCCATCTGTTGTCACGGTCTGCTCAGATCTGCATGCTAATCCTTCTCTACCCACACCTTCATGAAAACACCCTTGTGGCAGCGATACCGACGCAGCTCTTTCAGGATGAGGAATTAACCAAGCAGGGAGCACAAAACACACAGAGCGGAGGTTTATGGGATGTGCAATGCAGATAGAGCGGAGGGTACAAATGTGAATTTAGAGGTAAATTAAAGAGGTAGGAACCACAACCTCAGCAGTAGTTATCTCTTTAACACATACACATTTCGACACAACTCAAGGCTGAGAGCGTAGAAGATCGGCTTGATGTTTGCTAATACATGCAACATATGAAGAGGGTAGTCAAGGACACTTCTTTCAAGGTCTCAAGGTCGGTGACATTCAGCGGGTGTGGAAAGCGCGGCTCCCTGCCTCCGTTTAGCAGATGTAGCTGCTGGCGAGAGTCTTCTCGAGCTGACTAATCATTTGTGTATGCAGTTATAATATGCTTTCAATGTCTGAAAATACATATCATCCATCAAAGCACTGTTGTAATGTCTTTGGGCTTGAAAAGGGCACTGGGAGTAGGTGTGGCATATCTAAGATCTAATAAATATACATTTCCTCAGGCAAGAGGGGAAGGCTGCGAGATCTAAGAATTCATTTCCTACTTTGCAAAGCAGATAAGGGTTGAAACAGTGCAGGCATGCACAAATCTACAAATTCTGCAAACAAAATGTAGAACTTTATAAATGCATGTTTCACACATAAAAACTGAGTCTGGGTCTGCCTGTATGTTTAACATGTCTGGGAAATAAAGAGGTTAAAGTATATATGTAAGGTATGTTGTTATGTTTTATTAATTAGGAAGCCTTCTGCTTCATACAGGAGTCCACATGCACTTACTTCATGTATTCACATTTGGAACACACCCATACCATTAGGGAAGCTGCAGTAAAAACATCTGTCATGAACTAGATCTGGGTTTATTGTAAAGGAAACTGCCATTGGAGTGAAAGTGGTTTTTTGTTTTTTTTAAATCATGAACATTTGGAGAGTTTTTATGAGATGAATGTAAGACACCAAGATGTTTTGTAGATTAAGCATTTTTGCAGCCAATGTACCATGACAAACATCAGCAAGAATTAACTGCTTCCTAAAACGTTCACTCAGTAAAACCAGAAAAAGTGTTCATTCAGCTGTTTCATTTGGAAGACACAGGGGAAACAAAACAAAAGGCAGGGACATGTTATCATGTTATCTCAGAGATGATACCGTATCTCTAACAATGTTTTTAGCCTTAGGGAAAATAACTCGACACTAAAATATTTTTTTATGTTAAAAATCCATATTCATGTTAATGAAAGAGAAAGAGAGAAAAAACATTTCTTTCTTTATCGTTATAATTTCGCAAATGAAAGGATTCGGCCAATTAAAAAGTTATTTTGGCAGCATGTCAAAATAAAAGATATTGGAATATTAGACTTCAAAACTGTATCCATTTTTAGCTGCTTTGTGAACAGTCGGCCCAAACAGCAGAGAGTCTTACCATGACAGAGATGTGCAGGATGCGGAGCTCCTCCTTTGCAGAATCGCTGGCCGGGTCTTGGGTGGGCTCGGGGGGGTTCATGCTGCCGTCCTGGTGGTGGATGTGGAAGAGCAGAGTGCCGTTCTCCAGCCATTGCTGCTTCCATCGCACCATAGGGATGTCCTCTGAATTCCCAGAGATCTCTGCCGGAGACAATGGACAGATAAAGGAGACTAAATTATAGGCAAAATGCTGTTGCAGAGCAAATTACAACTTCACAGAGATCCACAGGAATTTGCGACCAAAAAAGAATGACATCTTGTAGTGTTGTGTTGTTATATTAACTTAATTTACTTTTTACGATTTTGTAAAACTAAGTAAGTCATTTGGGCAGGACTAAGACTCCTCAACAGCTGTTTGACTAAGGTTTTTATTGAAAGACTTGAAAAAGACTATTGAGTGAATTGCCGTGACATTTGGAATGGACCTAGCAGATGATTCAGAGCTCAAGACTTGAACGTTGGGAATTCTCTGACTTTTAAACGAGCATTACCTTCACCACCTGGGACATGCTATAAGGGACAGCTGTACATAAATGTGTTAGCAGCATTTGCTTATAAATACTTAACACTGGTTGACATTTCAGGTTTTTATTGCAAATAATTGCAATGACATTTGGTACTGCTAACAAATAGAATACACCAACAGAGACCTAGTGGATGAATTGGTGAAGATGTAGTACAGACATTCATGGTTCCCAGATGTTGTATCATAATGACTTTGGTGATCAATCAACTTTTAAACAAGCGTCACCATCATGTCATGCTAGAAGGTCATCTGTACGTAAGTCTTATAGCAATCGAGTGGTACAGCCCATTGAACAAGGTCAAACTACGGGCATACAACACCTGTGTTAGAAAGCCCACACATTTATTTCATAAGTTGGTTTGTTGATGTTATGTTATACGTGTCTTTCCTTTAATGCTCCTGGTGAATTGAGCTGTTACATGCGCATGACGTCATCGGAGCTGCCGTGCCTGTGTGCCGGTGATATGTTTACTTTCAGTTTCGTTTATGAGACGACAGTGCCTTTTCCTCCCGTTTTTTCCTCAACATTCTCTTTACTTTTATGCTGTTAAGTGTTGTGCGTAAATGCATAAAGGTGAGTGTTTATTTGTGCAATGCAAACTTGTCAGTGTTTATATGTAGTAAATGGACTGTAAATGGACTGTACTTATATAGCGCTTTATCCAGTCTTTAAGACCCCTTAAAGCGCTTTACATACTACATGTCATTCACCCATTCACACCCATTCATACAGTACAGAGCAGTGTACCTTACTCTAGGACCTAACATTCACACACATTCACACACCGTTGGCCATGCCATCGGGAGCAACTCAGGGTTAAGTATCTTGCCCAAGGATACATCGACATGTTGACTGCATGGGCTAGGTCGAACCCACAACCTTCTGTTTGAAAGACGAGTCGACCGCACTCCCTCGCAGCCACTGTCGCCCTAAATAGTAATATTAGTATATATCTTAGTAGGCAGTAATGTCTCTAGTTTGTTAGCGGTGCTGGATGCTAGTGGTAGCTTAGTTGCTAACTTCTTTGTATTTCACTCGCTTGTTTAATTCAATTGTATTGATTCTATAATTGTTTTATAATAGATAATTGTGATTATTATTAATGCCATTCTTTGTTTGTACTATTTTTACAGACCACACACACACACACACACACACACATGGCTAACAGCAAGACCGAGTATAATTAAAGATCTAAACTTGGAAAGTCTGTTCTCCGTGTTCTTTTACCGGGACACACCCATCCACACCGTGCCATCTCTAAAACCAATTTCCTTTACATCTCCTTTACAACCTGCCTCACTCTTTTGGCCACTTTCTGCTACAAAACTCATAGGTTCCGATGTTGGGTTTATGAATGACTGGTTTTCAATTGTATGTGTATTCAGTGACTGCCATCAACCCCTTCTATCCCCAAACTCCCTTTGTAAACTGCAAGAGTTTATATCCATGTTAGGAGGAACAAATATGCCAGAAAATAATGAAAACCCCAAAAAGATAAAGATGAGTAAACACTGAAATTGTGGAAGCAGTGGAGCATAAAGAAACATTGTGCTTTGTGTCATAGCTCAGTTCCTCAGACACTGCATATCTCGCTGTTTGATATATTAGTGATGTACGCCAAAACACACAGTGCTGAGATGGAAGACATTATAAATGCATGACAGAGCTTTATGGGTTATTCTCTGTTATGTAAGTGTGGAGATTAGCAAAGATGCGTCAGGCTCAAAAGTCATGAGTGGTAAGAGCGCTGACTGGAAGAAACGATAAATGAAAAGCGAGATCACAGAAAGTGCAACTCCAGACTGAATCCGGTCTCCATACAGACAGGCATGCTCCAATAGGCTGCTGCTGAAATGGAATATATGTTCCTGGCTAGACTGTGTTGAGAGGACGTACACAGTAAGTAACTGTGTAGTTATTTGCTAGTCAAACGATATCTAATAAACTAGGTTAAAACAGGGCCAAATTTGGATAGAAGGTCTTTTTACTTGTGGGTTACATACAACTGTTTCTTCTAGACCTTTGGTAAATATATATTAATGTGTAGAAAGTCTTTACTCTACAGTAACATTTAGTTACTGAGACAATGCCGAAACAATGGTTAAATGAAGCATAGACATTTCTTTGAACCAAGTCCAGTCTAGAATCAACACATCGACACTATAACCAATTGCTATAACAGGTACCAAAAGTGTTGTAAAAATAAAAAATCCTATTTAATTTAAATACTGCTAATATTGTCTCTATTTGGCAAACAAAACAGATCAGGGACACCCAGAGGGTCTTACTTATTGCAGTCATTCATTTAGACACTCGCAGTGAGTCTTTCAGATGACACAAAAATAGGACTTTTCACTTCCTCTGTATTTTAAAATAACCTCATAATTTAACTTATAAATGCAATAGGGGTGTAACGGTATCCGTATTCGTCCCGTACCGTCACGGTTCGGACGTCACGGGTCAGTGCATGCAGTCACACGACGAATAGGCCTTTTTTTTTTACGAGTGGGAAAAAAGTCTGTCATTCAGGGCAGTATCCAATACACTATATATAATCCAGGGGGCGGTATTGCATCTAAAAGCTGTTTGCCAGCCGCCCTTAAACAACAAATGAAGAAGAAGAAGAAAACACAACAAAACGAACAAAATACAAGAAGAAGAAAAGTTGATATTGCGAGTTCAGATAACACAAAGGAGCTAGAAGAACCACACTATCTTATTATTTATTTTGTAATATTTTCAAGACATTCTTTTTAGTTTTACAGCTTATTGAATCTTTTTGTTTGACATCAGCCATTATAGATACTATGGCCATCTGAGTGTGTGTGGTACTGTTTGTGGTTTGTTTTTAACTGTGTAATAAAGTTAATTATTCAAAATGTTAGAGTTCCTTATTTTTAAACTGACACTTGCACTACTGTTCAAAATAAATAAAAAACAAACCTGGAATTATGCATTTGGGACTTTTTTTTGCTTTTTCTTCTTGAACCGAACCCGTACCGAACCGTGACCCCCAAACCGAGGTACATACCGAACCGTGAATTATGTGCACCGTTACACCCCTAAAACGCAATACTACATTTTACTGAATAAGGTCTTAAAAGCATCATAATGTAACTTTCGTACATTAACAGATAGCTTTGTTATTATGCAAAGCAGGAATGTGCTGCTGATTGGCTTCTAACAGCCAGCAGTACAAGCTCTCCTTCTGAGGATTTCAACATTTGTTGTTCACAATGTAAATGTCTCTTTATATAGATCTTAAGAGCTCGCACTCAACACTGCACTTCCTTGGTTCCTCAGCAGTACAGATGCCAAGAGTGACGTCAATCGGAAGAACAGTTGTTGAGAAAATCTAACGACAGACATAGAGAAAATCTCATTTTAATTAGATAGTTATTCTGTGTATTTGTATTGTTTATTTCCAGGTTTATAGTTTTCATTGTTGGTAGCAGAGTCACTCATTCCCTTTCAAGATTCTAATTAAGAAGTAGAACTGATCAAGTCCCCTTTAATGCACAACCGTATACTATTTATAGATCACTTTGGACTCTCTGCCATGAAATAGACTTCTCAACTAATTATAGCTAGTATGACCCAATGCTGAACACAAAACCATTACCTAAATACATTGTGCCAGCTCTAGTGGAATACAAGCTATCAAATTTCCAAATGTAAAGCTAATTGTACACATAGATGTCACAATGAACTCAGCAGAGAAGCTGTGCAAGCACAATGCAAAGCAGAAAGGGATGATGGGGGTGCATTGAAGGGACACGGTCCTTCAGTGAATAGTCCATAATTGATCAAAGTGTATACTATGTTGCTAGTTTATTCGTGCTGTGGCGCAGCGATGGTTGCAGACCAAATCACGGCCTGTAAATAATAATGAGGATTAGGCTTGATCAAAGGGAAAAGCCCAAAACTGAGTGACTCCAGCAGTACGTTAACGCACTTGTGTCAGCAGGGTAGATGAGAATTAGGATGGGAACAACAAGGACTGGAAAGCGGCAAATAGGTGAGGCATAAAATGTTCAAGACGTCAGCTCTCACTACACACAACCTACTTATCACTGCAAGGCGTGGGTAGAGATCTATATATAAACGCAGCTAACCCCATGCAGCACAAGACCATTACACTGATTACTGCCTGGGATGTAGTTGCAAGCAAGATTTTACTGCTGATCACAGGCTTTTACACAGTGTGCAAAACTTCAGAGCTATCCAGTTACACCTGCACAACGTGGGTCTCAATTGATTTGGGGGCTTTACACTAGTATTCTGACTGGGGAAAAACAAAATGCATTATGGGAGCAAGCCAGGAGATCAGGACCTCTGCTGAATTATTTTGACCAGTTTTTTCTCGTTTTCCCCATCATTCGTTCCCTAAATGTGGAAACACAAGATCACTGGAGTAGCATTTTTTTTATATTTCCATATTAGGCCAAATCATCACACATGGGATAACATTATCATAGGTAAATATCTCTAAATAATTACAACACATATATTAATGCTACATCCCATTACAGTTACAGAAAAATGTTCATATATTTATTATTTTACTCTACTATTTAAAAGCATTATTCCAAAAGATACAAGGGTATAAAC